CCTTTTCTCCTGGCCTTCCCTGGCCCCCCTGGCCCTCCCTGGCCCCCCCTAGCCCCCCCCTGGCCCCCACTGACACCCTGGCCCCCCCTGCCCGCCCGCCCTCTCTGACCCTCTCACTCCACCCCTGCTGGCCCCCAGCCCTTACCTCCTGCCGTACTCTGCCTTACTCTGCCCTGCCTTTTGGGAGCAGAAGCTTGGCTGCAGAATTGTGTGGTTGTTGTTAACCAAAATGGACCTAACAGAGTTTAGGTCCTAAACCCTAAACCCTAAACCCAGGGATCACTTGGCCCCCAGAAGACTGATTACGCGGTTGATGAAACAAATCCTGCATTACCCATAAAAAGGAATATGTACCCCATAATTCCCACAGTTTCGGGTCCTTAAGGTAATGCAGGATTTCTATCATCCACCATGGTACGGGTTCTACAGTATCGGTTCAAAGTGGGCTCAGGAAAGGAATTGTAGAGGGCTTTGGGGTTTTAGATCCGTAGATCCGCCACACGGCGTTCAGACCCCAAGACTGAGATGGACACGATTGGTAGAAGTACGTGTTCAAGATAGAAGAATCACCAGAAATTCAGCGTGGTAGTGTGACACCACGTCACCACGACCGGTACTGTTACTAATACTAACCTGTCATCCACGACATGATCGTCATCGTCGGCGACATCGTGATCACCATCCTGCCGTTATGGCCGCCGTCGGCATCATCACTGTGCTGTCGTCATATAGACTCTAAAGCCCCCGCATCTGCCTCAACCTCTACGGTTCACCCTTCCGAAGCTGCCACAGCAGGCAAAGAAGGAGGAGAAAAGCTTGGCCTCTCGAGGTGCCTTCTTCGGCGAAGCTCTTAGGGTTGCCTAAGTTACGCGTTTCCGGCTTCGGGAACATCGTTTGAGCTTTTGGGCTTTACAGGGTAGGATTGGGCATAACTGAGTGGCTGTCTGTGTCTTTGCGTTCCCAAAGATTAAGGTCTTGAAGGATCTCAAGAGCCCGCTCAAAAATCCCCTAGCCCTCAAATTGAGGAGTCCTCCTAGCGGTATGCTTATAGTTGTCTCCAATGTCATGTGGTTCTTTTGGTTACCCAATGATATGAAAAGAATCCTCTGGCAATAAGAATCAATGTAACCGCACTGTAACCGAAAGGATCCACCAAGCCCAACGCCAAACCCTAAGCCCTATACCCTATACCCTAAACCCTATACCCTATACCCTAAACACCCTACACCCTAAACCCTAAACCCAATACCCTCCACCCTAAACCCTGAACCAACCCTGTCACCTGGGCCAGGACCCTAAACCCTAAACCCAATACCCTCAACCCTAAACCCTAAACCAACCTAGTCACCTAGGCCGAGGCCCATCACAGCCTTCAGATCTCAAGGACCTTGGAACTGGACCTGCCAAGGCTCAAGAGCCCACAACAGTCGCTAAAAAGGGGTTTACTTACCTTTGGTTACTAGGGAATGGAGGAAGCTGAAGAGCCGGCAACAGTCGCTTATAAGGGGCTTACTTACCTTTGGTTACTAGGGAAAGGAGGAATGTACCATTATTACTATACTATTACTACCATTCTTCAAATTCCCTACTAAGCAAAGGTAAGTTTAGGGGTGTGGAGGAATGGGGTACCATTATAACTTATAACTACTATTACTACCATTCTTCAAAATCCCTACTACCCAAAGGTAAGCTTAGGGGTGCAGGGGTTTAGGGTTTCGGATCTAGGGCCCTACCCAGAGACTCCAATACCCCTTAATGAAGGAATATACCTTAAATTATAGTAGGATCCCTTATATGATTTAAGGAAAATTCCTTAATTAAGGGGTATTGGAGTCTCTGGGTACCTAATTTCTGCCAGCTGCCCGCTGCAAATGCCCTTTTCGACGTCTTGCGTGATGTTTGGCATTCCTCACTCTAGCCATAGGCCCCAAAGTAGTTCCTTTTTGGGGTTCATATGGGCGGTTGTCAAAATTATGGTCCCTTTTTGGATACCCTAAATTTCTGGGGAGCTTAATTTTGACAACTACCCATATGTAGAATCCTATAAGGTAATCCCCAAAGGGAACTACTATGGGGCCTATGGGTAGCCTCGGCCACAGCCATTCGCAAACCCAGTGACTTCCTCTACGCTACAGTAAACCCTGAACCAAAAGCGCCCTCAACCCTAAATCCTAAACCCTAATTTCTAAAAGCTCAACCCTGAACCCTAACCCCAACTCTAAATCTAACCCGTGATATCCCGTCCGAAGAGCTCCAGGCATCGGCGCCCTAAGCCTTGCCGTTGTCGGACTTTTGGCTGGCCTCGGGGTCTTCTGAGAGTCGATCCTGGGGAGTCTAGAACGTAATGTAGGGGCCTTGATAAATCGAACGGGGTTCCTTAGAGGGGTCGTACTACGATGTAAGGGCCTTGTTCGGGGAGTCTAGCCTAAGGTTCCATAGTCGTAGTACCTTTTTGGGGTTCATATTCGGAACTCTATATGGAGTCTAGAACGTAATGTAGGGGCCTTGATAAATCGAACAGGGTTCCTTTAAAGGGGTCGTACTGCGATGTAAGGGCCTTGTTTGGGGAGTCTAGCCTAAGGTTCCATAGTAGTAGTAGTAGTAGTAGTAGTAGTAGTAGTAGTAGTAGTAGTAGTAGTAGTAGTAGTAGTAGTAGTAGTAGTAGTAGTAGTAGTAGTACCTTTTGGGGTTCATATTCGGAACTCTATACGGAGTCTAGAACGTAATGTAGGGGTTTTGATAGATGGAATAGGGTTCCTTTGAAGGGGTCTATAAGGGCTACTGTAAGGAATCTATAAGGGTACTACGATGTAAGGGCCATGTTTGGGGAGTCTAGCCTAAGGTTCCATTCAGAACCCTATACGGCAATCCCAAAAAGGAGCTACTATGGGGCCTCTGGGTAGAGGACAAGGGGATTAGGCTTTGGCTGAAGGGCTTTGGAATTTTCAGTCAAACTGTCATGAAGATTTCCCTGAACCAGCTAAAAAACGATCTGGACCACGCTCCCCAAGGGTCATGCTCATATTCAGACATCCTAAATCCCCTAAAGGCTTAAGCCCAAAATCAGCAAACTCTTCAGACTTCAGACTCTACCTAAGCCTTTGCCCTGAACATTCTAACATCGAAGAGCCGAAGGTCATTTCAACCCTAAGCCCTACGGTTGATGATAGAAATCCTGCATTGCCGATAATAAGAAATATACCATAATTCCCGTAGTTTAGGGTCCTTAACGTAATGCAGGATTTATATCATCAACCCTAGGACTTTATGCCCCGGCCTTTGCAAAGCATGCCGGGCTTGTGCCAGAACAGGCGAGAGCCATTCGGACTTGTGGTCGGCAGACAAAAGAGAGCCCTAATACATTTCAACTACCTGGACCCCAAAAGTATGTAGAATAATAGCCTTTTACAGGTTTTGGGCCATTATTTTACCTACTTTTGGGGGTCTAGGTAAGGAAAACGCCAAAGACATCCTCAGATCAGAATAAACACTTATCCAATATTCAGCCTGTTCGTGGAAGGTATCTCCCTTACTTCAGGGCCGCAACCCTAAACCCTGAACCCTTACTTCAGGACTTGGTTCGTAGCTTTCTGGAAACGGCTTTCAGGGTGAGTCTTTCAACAGCGACCGTCCCCGTTTCGTTGTGATCGTCTGGCCGTGGTTTCAGGGTTGGGGTCGTCAAAAACCTCCAGCCGAAGCCGTCACCCGGCGAAAAGAGGCGTGAGCATGGAGGGAGTGTAGTGCATAAACAGGTAGTTCACATACCATCATATTCATCGTTAAAGTCTTTGTATACTGCTGCGGGCTCAAAACTCCCTTGAGGACGAAAGATCGGCTCCTGTGAAGGTACTTGTACGATAGGACCCTGCATATTCCTGGACAACTTCTGTGGCGTGCCTTCTTTTATCTGCACAGTATGTTGAGTGAAGAGGAGTTGCAGCTGCGCTGCCGCTCTTGCTTGCCCCCAGAACCATCATATCATGGTCTATACAGGTACACTGATGATTGCTGATGACCTCAAGACTTTAACCATAATAGACGTTCCTTTACGACCCTAAACTCCCTAAACCCTGACACTTAAACTTGTATACACCCTACATCGCATCGCATGTTGTTGAGAGGTTGTGCTTCTCAAAACTGCATGCCCAGAACCCGAAACCCCAAAACCCCAAAACCCTAAAACCCTAAACCCTAAACCCTAAAACCCTAAAGCCATAAACCCTAAACCCCCTAAAACCCTAAGGCCTTAACCTAAAACCCTAATAACCCTAAACCTAAACCCTAGACCCCTGAGAGGGTTCAAGCTTTAGGCTGAGGGCGTTTATCCGAAAATTTAGGGGGTCCTTCAGAGGGATCTATAAGGGTTCCTTTTTTGGGTTGCTATTGGGGGTCTATAGGATTTAGAGTTCAGGGCCATCTGCTTAGGGAACTAGGGTTCCGGACTTAGGGTGCCACGCGTTGGGTGAGGGCTCCGGCTTGTTGTCGCAAGTCCCCCGAGCATTGCAGGGACTGCCATAGACAAACCCTAAACCCTAAACCCCACAGCCTTTTCCTGTCTTTCCGGACTGAAGTCCTTTCCCAGTCTTGATAGGTTGATCAAAAGCCTTAAAACCTAAACCCAAAACCACGAAACTCTAACTCGGAACAAGCCTTAAACCCTCAACTCTAAACTAACCGGAACCCCGAAAGCCCGAACCTCAAGCCAGAAGCCCGCTTATCATCATTGCTATAACTCTTAGACTATTATTATAATAACGCCGCTGATGACTATTGTTGTTAGTATCATTATTTCATAAGTACTCGAGGCGGCGTCAGAACCCCGTCATCAACCGAAGCAGCAGGGTAGATAACCTGAAACTCTTCTTGGGTTCAAAAACCCAGCCTTAAAAGGCATTTTAATATAGAGCCCTAAATTGCCAATGCTACAGCACAACACATCCCCAAAACTCTGTTTTCAATCAAGGGCCTCTAGATTAGCGTGCTTGATTCCAAGTTTTGAGGTCCAGGAGTTGGACAAGCTGCCGTCGCCCCTGACTCTGCAGGCACTGGGCCAAAAGCTCGAGTTGGTTGATGGCGTCGGGGTCTCCGGGCTTAATGTAGGGGCCTTAGTAGTTAGAATAGGGTTTGGGGTATATGATACTATAGTTATAATTAGAATAAAGAGCCCCAAAGCCCAATTGAATTATTAAGGCCCCTACATCAGGGTGTTTGCAAGTGTGTTTGTCGTTTTGTTTCTGTGTCCGTGCGACAAGCTAGCCTACTTGTAGGCCACAGACTGTAGTAAGGCTATCGGGTTCCGCAGGGTCATCATAAGGAGCGGCTTTCAAGGGCTTTACGGGCCAGTCTGAATCCCGGGTGTGTACGGTCTGTTTTGTTGCTGCGTACTTGCACGGTTATGTGACATCTTCCAGACACCTGTGTACATGTCATGGCAGTTTCCCCTGTACCGCGGCGACGGCAGACACAATATCACCGGACTCACCGGACCAGACGCCTACAAATACGACCAACTGCACTAAGACAGGCCACTTGCCAGTAGTCCCAATCGCACAAACTGCGGGCATGTTATGTAAGGAAGCCCTATCATCCGTCGTCATCCGCTCCAGGAAGTCAGACCCCCTTTGCCTGGTGGCGGAAGCGGCTGGACGGAGCCTCAAGCGAGCGAATCAAGTTAGAAGTATAGGATCCTGAATACTTATAGCAACACGATTCCCGCATTATACAACTGGAATTCCTGGATGGTCCCTGTATAACGGTGCTATGCTAGGCGATACTCTACTACTATACTATACTGTACAATTTTTTTACCATACTGGCACACTGTGCTGGGCAGGATGAGGGGTAGACTGCAGTAGAGTAGTCATACGACGTCAATACATGTAGCCTGGTGTCCCACCTTCTATTTCCTGTACCAGTCGGACGTTCCGATGGCTATGGGAAACCCCTGAACCCCAAACTTTGTAATTAAATCTGGCGTTTCGCGGCGGAGTTGTCCGTCTTACTTATCGTTGATAAAGTCTTAAACTTGATAGAGGATGGGCTGTTTGCATGTTCAATCCAATGCACACTGAAGCCCTAAACCAGCTAAACTGAGCTGCAGTTCCGCGCAACACTTTGACCGCAAAGCTTAACCTTAGCAGCCTGAGCAAAGCTATCAGACATAACCCAGCCTCGAACGAGCCGGTACGTCAGTGTGTCAGCACGATAGGTTTGGCAGGCCATGAAACCTGCAACGACAAAAAATGTTGATGTTCTTCCGAGGGTGTTGCAGTTCTGGGTTCCGGGGCTTCCAGGCTTCGCAGCAGAGGTTTGAGCTACGGCTTCTGATCGGGTCTGACACGTTTCTTCCTGCGCATGGTACCAAGAATAAAACACTCTCATCTCCAAAATCAAGCCCACACGACCCTAACAGATCCCAAATCTTTGCAACTCTTCGCCAAAGCCTCAATCGCCAAATCTGGGCTCCAGAAACATCAACGCCGTGTCCTTTCCCTGAGTTCCTATGCCCGGACCTTCAACCTTGACCCGAAACCCTGAAGCCTTAAACCCTAAGTCCGCATCGCCATCTTCCTGGCCCTTGCAACCGTTACCCTAAGGCTCCATAGTAGTTTTCTTTTTGGGGTTCGTATGTAGACTTCTATAAGGTAGTCCCAAAAAAAGGACTACTATGGGGCCTCTGGGTAGACCGTCTGACAAGGATCTGCGACTTCCTACTTCAACCCGAAAAGCCGAAAAGACCTTTAGAGCGAGTCTCAAAAAATATTCCCCAATCTCCTGCTCCTTCTGCGGAAGGCAAGCGACCTTAACTTAAGCGATCACGAACCTCTGTCTGTCTGTGACCTTACGCTCCGAACGCACTCGTACAAGCACTTCTTGAGAACGCAGATAGTCCGACCCCACCACGACTGAAAGACTCTCCTCCTAGACCCTCCATCTACCCTCTATTGGACCCTAAATGCCCATTATTTGGGGCCATATACCCTTATTTGAGGGCACAAGGAGGGTCCCGGCTAAGGCGCTTGCATTACTTGAGTGACAACCCCGAGACTGACGGTGTTTGGCGCTACGTGGTCCGACCCTTCGACCGCCATTCTCGCAGGGCTGACACGAACTGTTTCTGTTAGAAGCGTCCATGGGCCTGGTGTGGAAGCATTTGATTGGGATCTTGAGTTTCAATCACGCTTAAGTGTTAAAGCCGTGGAATACCCTGCAAAGGTCCATACATTCCTTTGAATAGGGCGCACAATCTGTCACTGAGCTCACGTGTATCCAAACAGAACTCGAACTCCTCTCTTTGGCAGAGCTTGATCGTCACGGTTTGCATCGAAACCTGTCCTATGTTAGACCAGTCTTCATGCCGGTTTCTATTCTTGCACGATCGCTTTGACTTCACGTTTGGGTCCAAGGTTTGGTCAGGTAGGCCTTTGGGCTTGTACGATTCGACGAATCAAGGTTTCAGGGGCTATACACGTGAAGGCTAGAATAGTTGTTAGCGTCCCCCCTATAGCCCTCATTTGTTCATTAGTTAATTACAGTGTTCAATCATTTGAGGCCCCTATATACGGTCAACTTCGTCCGGCGACGTATTCTGTGTTTCAATTTTCGGTCGGTAAGCTTGGGATGTTGCAGCCGCTCACTCTAAACCCCTAAACCCCTAAACTCAGACGAGACTAGGGTCTGATAGTAAAGAAGCCAGGTAGCCGAAGTAAAGCCATTCTTGCATTGTGGGATTTCCTGGATACAGGCCCTCTGCCTTGTATCGAACTTGTTGTTCCTGGTAGCATTGATACATTTTGTTATTTAGTGTGATGAAACTCACTTCTGTTGTCATATATATATATATGTATATTATTTTGATTCTCGTTATTATTAGTTACATTGCTACCAATATTGTTCTTAGTATAAACAGTAGTAGTAGTAGTAGTAGTAGTAGTAGTAGTAGTAGTAGTAGTAGTAGTAGTAGTAGTAGTAGTAGTAGTAGTAGTAGCAGGAGTAGTAGTAGTAGTAGTAGTAGTAGTAGTAGTAGTAGTAGTAGTAGTGGTAGCAGTAGTTGTAGTGGTAGTAGTAGCAGTAGTAGTAGTAGTAGTAGTAGTAGTAGTAGTAATAATAGCAGTAGTAGGAGTAGTCGTAGTAGTAGTAGTAGTAGTAGTAGTAGCAGTAGTAGTGGTAGTAGTAGGAGTAGTAGTAGTAGTAGTAGCAGTAGTAGTAGTAGTAGTAGTAGTAGTAGTAGTAGTAGTAGTAGTAGTAGTAGTAGTAGTAGTACTAGTAGGACTAGTAGTAGGAGTAGTAGTAGTAGTAGTAGTAGTGGTAGTACTAGTAGTAGAAGTAGTAGTAGTAGTAGCATCAGGTCATTGTTGTAACTGTTGTTACGGCTATTCACTGAAGATTGGCGCACATTCATATACAGTATTTTGAGTTCAAGGGTGCTGTGTGCTCAGTGCTGTGGAGACTGGCTTCGAGATTGGAAATTCGGCATAGGGAAAGGAATTTGTGGAGTGCCTAAGGGCTTAGGGTTGAAGGGGCCTAAGGGCCTTGAGGCTGCAGGTAACCCAATGAAAGTCTCGCAAGAAAGTGTCTAGATCTGACAATCGTGCTGTCAGATGCAACTTTCGCATCACACAAGATGCACTTGGAGGATCAATGGATTTAGTAAGTAGGGTTATAAGTAAGGAAACTAAAGTTACAATCACTTATAACCCCAATTAGGGTACTTATAACCCTACTTACAAAGTCCCATGATTCTCCAAGCAAGCCCCAAGCCTTTAAGGCCCGAACCAGGTCCTGCAAGCGTACCTCAACCCACCAACACCTGCGTGTTTGCCGGGTCCCCAAATTAGGCTTTACAATAGTTAAGAGCCCCTCAATCGGTAGGTTATTGGTTGCTTGATGTACACCCTGTCAATGCAAGGCTTCAATCATACCAAATCCTGAACCAAACCGCATAAACCCCTTACGCGCTACCAACCCTAAACCGCAGATAACCCGACACCCTGTGCCCTACACCAAAAGCAGACCGCAAGGCCCGTTTCCTTCAGCTGCCCGAAAGTGCGCAGCCACCATGCATGCCCCGAGCTGAGGAACTACTGGAGCCGTCAAGAGACTGCCTGTTTGAGGATGCAGCCTTTGTGTTGACGAGTCGTATCTCACTGAAACCGGCCTAAATCGGCTTAGGGGTTGTGGCGGGTTTGTTGGTGAAGTTTTCGGGATTTTTCAAAACTATGCAACAACGCTCTAAGTCACAGGCCTGAGATCCAAAATTCATCCCAGCTCCTCGTCTCTAAAACCTGACGCTTAATCCGCAACAATCATGTCTTCGCTTCTGGGCTTCAAACTGCTCATTTTTACCGGAGCACGGGGTTCTCCTTGTGGAATTTAGGGAGAGCTCTTGTATGAGTACTTCGATTCAGTGGCCGTAAACACCAAGCCACGAATCTTTGTGAACAGCCATCGCTGCCACAGTGAAAGCCTCTGCCAAGTTTCGATGGCGTCACCAAGTTGCCCTGGGGCCCAGGCAGCCCGCTTTTGGGACTCAGTACTGGGAGTGCTGGGTACGAAAGGGTCTTATAGGGTTTAGTGTTTAAGGGTTTGGGTGACTTATCTGGTGGTTTCTAAAGCTGTTCGGTCGGTTGAAGTTTCTCGGTTTCGGTTTAAGTCTTGTGGTCTAGAAAAGGCTGATTTGCAGAAGCGGTGGTAAACAGATCTTGCATGAATGTCTCATCAAGACCCTGCAGCCCACTCGAGTATCAGGGAACCCTTCTAATCGCCCATCAGACTCGAAAAAGGGGTTCATGGAAGCAGGATGACCTCAGGAGTCCCATCAGCGGAACGCGTCGAAATTAAACCCTAGTTTCCACACGAACTTGTTGTGCTTAGACAGGACCTTACAGTAATGGAAAGGAACAAGGGCTGCCAGCAGGGACAAAGGGACTTCTCAGCTGGAAAGCCTTTGAACAGGGAGCCGTGGTATCGTAACTGGTCTTTGCAGGAAGCCTTCTAACCTTTAGTAGGGAATGGAGGAATGGGGTACAATTATAACTACTACAACTACCATTCTTCCATTCCCTACTAACCAAAACTAACCCTTATGGTAGTTATAGTAGCCCTTATAGACCCCTTTAAAGGAACCAAAGGTAAGTCTTGGGCAGGTTTCCTCTTCCTCGTCGCATCATCGAGCAGCCTGGCGCTCCAGGCCCGGAGAGCAAATGTTCCCAAGCGAAACGACCATGACAAATGGGAGTTTCCGAAAATAGGGGACCCTTACTGTTCCTTTAAAGGGTTACTATAAGGGTACTATAAGGGTTCCTTTAAAGGGCTAGAGAAGGGTTTGGGAGTTTCCGACAAAGATCAAACATGTGAATCCCCTGCGCTTGCACAGTGTTATCTCAAGATTCATCGTGTCTCCACCTCTCTTCATGTAGCCGGACACTCTAACTCGCGAACCCTGAGCGAGAGCTTTGCCGACTGGCAACACCTACGGAGTGATCAAGTGCTTGGCTTGCGTGTAGAGACTTAAATCAAATCCCTATTATGGTAACGTAAAGTAAACCCCTATTATGGTAACTTAAAGTAGATCCCTATTATATGGTAACTTAAAGTAAATCCCTATTATATGGTAACTTGAAGGTTCAATGAGCCTTTACCCAGCCTCTGAGCTCCACTCAATAGAGCGACGGTCGAGGTTGGGGATCCCTATAATCAGGATCCGAGTGTTTAGGTACTGTATTAGGGTCCCCTATTTTCGGAAACCCCCACTTCGTTCTTCAGCTACCCCAGCCAGAGAACCTGGAAGGGTTCAGGGTTTAGGGTAAGCTTCTGAAAAAGAAAAGCTCAAACTCCAGAATACCGGTCTCAATCATGAGGATTTTTCACGAGAGCAAGGAACTGGGTCCTTGACTCCTGAATCCACAAATCCAATACCCAACGACCTTATTTCCAAAAGCCGCAAATCCTAAACAGTTGGACCTGGACCCCGAAAGTATGTAGATTAATAGCCTTTTATAGGTATTGGGCCATTATTTTACCTACTTTGGGGGGTTTAGGGAAGCCTAACACTGGGGCCTTGCCCAATAGGAGGGCTGCCCAACCCCCAAACCACAAAAGGTCAAACTCTAATTAAGCCCTAAACGCCAGACACGCAAACCATAACCTGGAGTGAACTGGTCCTGAACTTCCTGAACCCCACAAGCGAAACAAATTAAACACGAACCCCCTATTGCTACCATAAAATCAAACCCACGTCACAACAAAGGCAGAAATAGAAGTAAAATGGGGGCCTAAGCACTTGCAATAGATTTCCTGCCGAAGCCTTTTTCAATGCCGAATGTCATTGCCCCACGTTGCGTATGCTGGCCCCTAGTGTATAGACCCCTTGTAGATCCCATCAAGAACCCTTGAAGACAGCATTAAAGGAACCTACCCTAGACATTAAGAGTTGTATAAAGCAGGCCCGGCTGCGGCCGCTTCCGGCGAAGCCACTGGCGCCGGAGGCAGTCTGGTATCTTCAGCTTGACATGGGGCCTTACGATATGAATTAGGATGGCAGACCTTAAGGGGCTTCCCAGAGACTCCAATACCCCTTAATTAAGGAATATTCCTTAAATCATATAAGGGATCCTACTATAACTTAAGGTATATTCCTTAATTAAGGGATATTGGAGTCTCTGGTTTTTTGTATATAGCGTTCTTCAAGGGTTGTTGCTGTACGGGCTGTTGTTTTTGTTGTTGATATGGGTTTCTGGCTATGTTTTCTGATATTTGTTTCTTCTGGATGCCTGGATGATCAGAATAGGGTCTTGGGCCGTGTTGTACAGTAAATACGATAAGGCCCTAGTGAACTGTATTGTAATAGTCAGGCCCACACATTAGGGTCTTTCGGTGTTGCATTGGGGTTGGCCTTAGGGTAACCACATGAGGGTTACCTGTTATCAGATCACGTGATCCGCAACTTGTATTATTTCGGCAGCTGCACCCGCAGATTGTTCTAAGCTCGGTAAACACATCTGCACCAACAGATTGTTCTAAGCTCGGTAAACACATCTGTGCAAGGCTGCGCGAGAACATGATTTGGGTAGCCCTTTCTTGGCGCTCTTGACCCATAGAAGCTTAGCAAAGCCCGCGACACCTCTTTGAGTCCCAATCAAGCTCCTAATATATGGTACACATATGTGTACATAGGCATATACCTATGTGTTCATTACAGTATACTGGATATGCAACATACAATATACAGTCTATAATGTAGTTTCTGCTATATATCCGCCTTGCATAAGTCCCCGTGGAAGATCTCGTGCAACGGCGTAGAACCTGAAGACGAGATTGCCTTGAAGCCCACAGCCCAGGCCGTACCATGACATTCCGGGAGACCCAGCCCGAGTCGTTCATTGTACAGTAAACCCCATAAACTTGGAAACCGGGTTAAGGCCAAATAGTGCTGGGATTCCCTATACATTACTCTTAAGGATTGAGGCTATGGGGTTTCCAACTTTTGGGCTTCTACTATAGGTGTTTACAGGTTATACCCATAGGCCCCAAAGTAGCTCCTTTTTGGGATTACCTTATAGGACTCGACATATGAACCCCAAAAAGGAACTACTATGGGGCCTATGGGTAGTAGAGTGGGTTGGGGGGATCGACTATGGGGGAATAAACCTGTACGACCAAAACCGAACGATTCGGGAACCTTGCGGAACCGTAAAGCCTGAATCTGGAACCCTAACATTCCTCAGCTCTACTACTGTCACTAATTCGGTACACTCTAAACTTGCAGCATCGCGAGGCCTTTCAAGAGGCGAAGCAGCCAGCGCTGCGGCAGAACATGAGCTCTGGGGATTAGGGGTGTCTAACTTTGAGGCTTCAGGGAACCTCCTTCTCTTGCAGGATCCCTTAGGGGAAATGCACAGCCAACTCGGAGAGCACTCGAAGAGCACGATTTTTTTCCAAAATCCGACTTCAAAGAGTCTTACGGACGAAGGGAACTTTGAGGAGAGACCGGTACTTTAATGGGGAGGATCCAAAAAGTAGATCCCTTAATGAGGGCTCCTATAAAGTACCCTTCGTAGTATAGGGCCCCAAATTGGGGGATCTACTTTCTAGATCCTAGGCCTCGGGCAGAAGAGTTTTACTGGGGGTTTTCGGGGATTGGGGCAGCGACGTGGGATTTTGGTTTGCGGGTACAGCCCGCAAAGCCCAAAGCTTCAAACCCTAGACCCTAAACCCGAAACCCTTAAACCCTGAACCCTGAACCCTACCCTAAACTCCAATCCCCTAAACCCCTAGACCCTAAACCCGAAACCCTTAAACCCTGAACCCTGAACCCTACCCTAAACTCTAATCCCCTAAACCCCTAGACCCTAAACCCGAAACCCTTAAACCCTGAACCCTGAACCCTACCCTAAACTCCAATCCCCTAAACCCCTAGACCCTAAACCCGAAACCCTTAAACCCTGAACCCTGAACCCTACCCTAAACTCTAATCCCCTAAACCCCTAGACCCTAAACCCGAAACCCTTAAACCCTGAACCCTGAACCCTACCCTAAACTCTAATGACCTAAACCCCTAGACCCTAAACCCGAAACCCTTAAACCCTGAACCCTGAACCCTACCCTAAACTCTAATCCCCTAAACCCCTAGACCCTAAACCCTAAACCTTAAATCCTAAACCCTAACCCCTAAACCCTAAACCCCTAAACCCTAAACCCCTAAACCCCTAGACCCCTAAACCCCTAAACCCTGAATCTTCAGCTACTTCGAAGTAGCTAGTAGCCTTAGTAGCCTGTGGACTCCGAAGCCAGTGTCCCCAAACCCTCCCCTTAGCCACAACGTACCCCGAACCTACTTGGGAGTTTCCGAAAATTAGAGGTACCTTACTTTGGGGTCCTTTTAATAAGGATCCTAGTAATTATTTAGGAAACTCTCTTAGTGTCCCCTATCTTCGAAAACTCTCACTTGTGTGAAGTTTTGCAGGGGGGCTATTATGAAACGCTAATATGCAATTTATGTGGGCACTGCACGTTGTAGCAAATCAATGTCAATGTTAGCCCGAGTCCCGGATGCGCACTATAGTGGCCGAAATAATTACCAATACTAGTTCGGGGTGGGTTCCTTATGATACCTATATTATAGTATAATGGCCCCAAAACCTTATTGAAATTCGTAAGGGCCCTGTATTATCCCGAAAACCCTTGCTTCTCAAAGCAAGGTGATCCTCCCGCCTTTTGCGCTCGTGCAAGCTGCCGAGAGGCCCGTGGCATGATATTCGTTGAAAGTTAACGTTTTAGGGTTTCAGGGTTTAGGGCTTAGGGTTTTAGGGTTTAGGGTTTAGGGTTTTAGGGTTTAGGGTTTAGGGTTTTAGGGTTTAGGGTCTAGGATTTAGGGTTTAGGGTTTATAGTAAACAGTAAACCCCAAAAAGTCGGAAACCGGGTTAACGCCTAATAGTGCTGGGATTCCCTATACATTACTCGTAAGGATTGAGGCTATAGGGTTTCCAACTGTTGGGTTTCTACTGTAGGGTTTTAGGGTTGGAGCCTGACTAAGAAACCCTGACCCTATAACCCCCCAATATATTCGGATTCATATCGGGAACCCTAATAAAGGCCCAAGGTTTCTTAATCAGGTTCCTATGTTAGGAGTTTAGGCTTTGGGATCGGGGCTTTAGGGTTTTTTTCCGGTTGAGCGGAGGGCTTTTGGGTGTAAGAGTTTAGGCTTTGGGGTTTGGTCCATAGTTTTGTTTTTGTTTTTGCGGGGGGGAAGGCGTGAACTTGTATGAGTCTTCCATGCAGTTTTGGAGCTTACCTTCAGTCTCCATTGTAGTTCCTTTTTTGGTTAGCCAGTTTTATGGTTAGGATCCTATAATAGAGATTTTGGACCAAAAAAAGAACTACAATGGAGACTATAAGTAGGGGCAAGCCCCCCACCTCTCAACCTTGGGTCGTTCAAAAGAACCACTCGCCCCGGCCTCGGAAACAAAAAGCAGACGCCCAAAATCCCGAGACGGTTTGGGAGTGAGGGTGCAGGGTTTTAAGGGGTTAGGGCCGGTTAGGGTTTAGGGCTTCAGGATTCAGGGATTTGGGTTTAGGGGTTTGGGGTTTAAGGGTTGGTTTGGGGTTCAGAGTTCAGGGGTTAACCGCTAAAAGCTTGTAGATCCTTGATAAGATCCTTGACTCGACAAGCCATTTTAAGCCCACTGTCGTTTCGAGTCTTTAGAAGAACTAACCCAACAGAATCCGTCTCAAATCTTGTCATCCTTGTCGGAACTCATAGACCAGGCAGACCACGGTTAAACCGGTCGAGGCAAAGGTAACGACCAAGCAACTCCAAAATCCTGGGATTGGAGTACCATACTTGAATACGCTTTTTGGGTACCTGTTCCTAAAAGGAACCATTATGAAATAAAGTCTATACTTTTTTCTCCCTGGTTCCTTCAAAGTCCAGAAAGCTATATCTGCTGCTGCACCCCGCGGCGAAACCCTAATCCACAGAGAGCACACTTGGAGGGTCGGGGGACTTACTAAGTAGGTAGTAAGTAGACTTATAAGTACCCTAGAAGGGACCCTAATTGGGGTTATGGTACTTATAAGTCCCTAAAATAAACAGTAACTAAGTCCCCCGACCCTCCAAGCACAATCCCCCATTGTCGGCTGGCATACGGAGCGCGTGTCCGCTTGTGACACCCAACTTCCATCCTGAAAACCAGGAAACCCTAACGGCCCTATTCTGAGTTTAGGGTTTAGGGGTTTAGGGTTTAGGGGTTTAGGGGTTTAGGGTTTAGGGGTTTAGGGGTTTAGGGTTTAGGGTTTAAGGGTTTAGGGTTTAGGGGTTTAGGGTTTAGGGTTTAGGGCCTAGCCCCTGCAAACCCCGACCTTATGTCCAAAAGCAGCCTGGCAAGCCGTGATATAGATTCCAAATATGCTTGCCATGAACCCTAAACAAGCAACAAAACAAACCTCACCTTCCCGCTATGCACCTTCTTTTTATACGAAGCCGTACTAGAACCAAGCGTTTCATGACCTTAAAGCCCTGGAACCTATAAAATTTAGCCATGGACCACGAACCCCTGAGAATTCAAAAAAGCTGTCACACAAACCCAAAAGAGGCCCCTCCCGCAACACTCGCCTCTAAGCCCTAAACCCTAGAACCCCTCGACCTTAAATCTTAAACCCTTCAAACACTCGACCTCAAATCCTAAACACCCTAGAAACCTCAACCTTTTCCTGGTGACCCTAAACCCCCTGACCCTAAACCCGGAAACCCTAAAACCCCTAAGCCCTAAAATCTCAAACCCCAAACCCTAACGAAAGGTCCGGCCAGTCGTGCACGGACTTTTGCAGCGATCGTGGGGCAAGCTGTGCCTGTGCCTCACGGTGGTTTTATGGGTGCTTGGGATGTTTAAACCGATGATTTTCGAGGAGCTCACGGAGGTTAGGATGGTTTAGGGGGTTTCTTCTTTAAAGGGTTGCTGTTGATGTTCTCTCTTTATGGGTGGTTGGAAACTTGTTTAGAGGTTTTAATGGGGTTTAGGGTGGTGACTTGGTGCTCAATAGTGGTTAGCAATGTTTCGGGTTGTCCGATTTGGGTTCAGAGGTGGCGCCAGCGAGGTCTGCGAGGTTCTTTAGTTTGTTACAGGTTTGCTTACAACTAGATTTTTAGCTGTTGTTCAGGCTCAGGCTTGTCACTTGCTACTTCCAGGGCTTCTGACATGGCTTCGAATCTGGGTTTGGGGCTTCTTGACGTTTCGTAGCCTCGTACAAGGTGCCAAACCTTAAACCCTAAACCCCCTAAACCCCCTAAACCCTAAACCCCCTAAACCCGAAACCCTAAACCCTAAACCCCATAAGCCCTAAACCCTAAACCCTAAACCCCCTAAACCATAAAACCCCATAAACCCCCTAAACCATAAAACCCCCTAAACCCCCTAAACCCTAAACCCGAAACCCGAAACCCTAAGCTGCTTCAAGGTTTCAAAGTTTCAGCCTCCAGGCATTTAGAGAGGGTTTAGGCATGTGGGTTGGTGCAGACTTCAGCCGAACTTCAGATTTCGATGCTACAGGCATTAGGTGCTTGTGGTGGAGGCAGCGGAGTTCTTCTTGGCTTTCAGGTTTGTGGGCTTCTGCCATCTGCAGCGCAATCATCTATGTTGCGCAAGCCAAACAGGATGCTTCACTACGAGCTCCCTTGGCTGAGTGGACAGCGGAATCACAGCGGAAGCGGTTCTCCGCAACATCCCCCGTGGATTATGCCTCCACCCTGATGATCCTGACTGGCTTTCCTGCAAATATTGCGACCGCCAGGGAAAGCGGCTGAAATTTCCAAACGAGCTTGGTGTGACCCATCATTTCCTCCAGCCAAGGCACAATCGCACGGTACCAGAGCCGCCGGGACCACCTCCCCAACGTTCCAGCATGTGGTCATAGCGCTTCTGCACAAAACTGTTGCTGGTCAGATTTACTGCTTAAACAAACGGTTGTGATGCGCACCAACAGCGGCAGCAGCACCGGCAGCAGCAGCAATAGTCTCATGCAATAGCACGAGCCCAACAGGAAAGATAGTGGTAGCAAGTACTGGGAAAGTACAATGTAACAGCAATGACTTTACGTGTCTAGAGACCGACAGGTAGCTAGATAGATAGACAGATAGATAGTAATATAGGTCATGTGTGAGTCTAGTAACAAGCAGAGTTGCAACAGCACGCGAGCAATTACTTAGTAGCTGAGTAAGTAACCTTTAACCTTTTGGGGTGAATACAATCCTACATAGTTGAAAAGGTTAACCTTGTTGGGGTACTCAGCCCCTATAAAACCCTAAACCCTAAACCCTAAACCCATAAACCCCTAAACCCTAAACCCATAAACCCCTAAACCCTAAACCCTAAATCCATAAACCTCTAAACCCTAAACCCCTAAGCCCCTATAAGATCATAAACCACGATTCTGCTTCCGACCTGAGTCCTCGGCTGACCTTGTCTTCGTCAATCGTTGCGAGGCCTGTCCAGGTCTGCTTGGGGCTGAATATAGGATTCATATTAGAAGGAACCCAAATAAAGGCCCAAGGTTTCTTTATCAGGTTCCTACATGGTCTCCACGGGTTCAGAGTCGGGTTTCGGTTTGGGGCTTGGGGTTCGGGTTTGGGGTTTTGTGGGCCGTTCATAGTTAGGGAAAGAGTTGACGTGGTAAGTAAGGTTAGCAAGACGGGTTGTGGGGAACACGAAACCGGCAATCGGGTACCGGGTACGCCAAGAGAGCCTTCAGGAAGGAATTACGAGCGCTTGCATTACGGCCGTGTGGGGCTCGGGCTTGATTAGGGTCTATGGCTCCCAAATAGGTGGGATGAGACACAAGGAAGAGTCCTCATAGGATGGATCCTTGATCCAGCCTCAATCCCCGCCTTTAGACATCCCCGACCTAGACACAGAATGGTTGCACTTCTTCTGGGTTGTCTGCTTATCTGTTCAACCGAATCGTAACCCGAAAGTGGGTGCTTATTCAGAACCAAGGTGCATCAATCCTTTACCCAAATGTAAGTTAGGGAGTCTACGGTTTAGGGTTTTATGGTGAGGAGCTTAAGGGCTTGAAGGTGTAGGGACTTGCATAGGGTTAGGCTTTTTCGGGCTCAGCGCTCTAGGGGCTTAGGGGTGATGGCTGAGGGCCTGGGCTAATAGTCTTGCGGGAGGCGATGTTAATAGAGGGCTACAGAGCGGCAACGCCTGTGACAGATCAGATAAGGTTCATGAAGTTGACGCTTTGAAAACTAAACCCAAAACTCAGCCGTGTAATCCCTGAACCCTCAGACCCAAAGCCCTGAGCCCTAGATCGCAACGATTTGCGGCTCCTGATGTTTAACCCTTAACCCTAAAACCTAGACCTTCAAGCAACAGCCGTTCACCCTACCCAGAGGGTAAATTAGTAGTTCATTTTTGGGGCTCATATTCCGAATCCTATAAGGCAATCCCGAAAAGGAACTACTATGGGGCATCTGGGTAACCCTAAACCTTCGATCAACGCCCTTCACCGCAGCCTTGTGCTCCAGGCAATGCGCCACTTCATGTACTGCGAGCGATGCGAGAAGAACCACGGCCACGTGGCTTGAAGCTGTTAGGGTTCGAGCGTTTAGAGTTTAGAGTTCAGGGTGATTTAGTTTAGGGTTTACAGGTTGAGGGTTTTTGGGGTTAGGGTTGAGGAACCCTTACAGTACCCTTATAGGACTTTGGTATGCCTGCGCTATGCCGCTATGCTGCCAATCGCGGCCTGCCTTGCCGCCCCTGCTTGCAGCTGTCCTGTGTTGGCTTCATCCTCTTGGTTTCTGCGTTTTTCTCTGTGTCGCCTGTTCTCATTTCCGAGAAGCAGCGGCAACAGTAGCAGCAGCGCAAGCCGACAAGTCACCCTCCATCTTTAGTGTGGAGTGCAAATTTGTTGCAGCACGTAGTTTTCTTGCAGTCGAAGGTCGGAGTGCAGACAGCACAATGACCCTCAAAGGAACCCTTAAAGGCACCCTTCAAGTGCCCTTAATGGAACCGTTATGGAACTCCGAAAGATCTCCGAAAGCCACCAAAGGAGTCCCTAAATCCGCTTGTTCTCGAAGGCCTAAAGGAGTCCTCACAGAAAACCAGTAAAGCACTTCGAAACCGAAACCCTAAACCCTGTAAGCCCGAAACCCTAGTACCCTAGTAAGCCCTAAACCTTCAACTCCCAGTAGTACCCTTATTCCCTTTTTGTAGTCCTAGGTTCTTTATAAAGTTACCCAATACCAAAAAGGGAGCCCTTTTCATTCCTAGGTTACTGGGCATCCTCGTTACCATCCCCTAAGGGCCCAAGTACTCGATTTTTATAGGGCTTTGGGTCCATTTTGGGTACCAGAAACCGTTCATAAGGACTACTTGGACCCTTAGGGAGTACTACCCCAAATTCGTATCGAATATAGAACCCTCATAATACCAATCTGGGAGTTTCCGGAAACTCGGGGTACCTTAGTTGGGGGGTCCTTACACTACGTAGCGATCCTACTATTTGGGTAGCCATATTAGGGTCCCAGATTTTCGGAATTTCCCACATAGAAACCTTGTAGAACTCTCTCTGGAGCCTTCAATGGACTTTTGTAGATACCCAGGGGCCCCAAAGTAGTTCCTTTTTGGGTGTGTCCTCTTTTTTGATTAGGGACTCTAAATATACTACCCAAAAAGGAACTACTTTGGGGCCCCTGGGTATACCGTAAATCCAAGAGTCCTCCAGGCTCGGACCAGCCAGCCTTGGCGAGTCAGCGCAGCAGCCCCTCCTATGGGGTCCGCCACACATCGACAGGGAATAAGGGTTACTTAAAAGGGTACTATAAGGTTTCCTTTAGGGATCTATATGGTTTAGGGCTACTGGGTGTTGGGGTCTGTAGGTGTTTTGGTTTGGATGCTGAAAGCTTATATAGGGTTTAGGGCTTCTAGGGTTTAGGTGATTGTTGTTAGCTGTGGTCCTGGGTGCTTTGGGGATGTTCTGGTGTGGAGGTTTGAGTCCTCGCCGATCCCCGACGCGAAGGGGTTGGGATCTAGGGGGTTCCTCATTATAATTACAGTATAATGGGCCCCAAACCCTCAGGGTCGAGTTCGGGTTTCGGCTAACCCGACAAGTAGCTATAGTCTCCATTGTAGTTCCTTTTTTTGGTTTAACCAATTTTATATTAAGGATCCTAAAGGGTAACCCCAAAAAAGAACTACAATGGAGACTATACCCTAAACCCTAACCTCTAAACCCCTTTAAAGGAACCTTAGACCCCCTTAAAGGAACCCTAAACCCCCAAAAAGGAACTACAATGGAGACTATAGGAGGAGGTTTTGGTTTTGGGATCTCTGCTTTGAAGCCCGGGACCCAGAGCCGAGAGGTCCTTCGTGGAAGCTGAGTACCATTTGGCTAAAAGCTCAGGGGTTTGAGGCTATGCCTCCAGGGACCTTATTATGGGGGTCCTTAAGGGGTCTAGGGCCCTAACTATGAGGTCCTTGGAGGGATAGGGTAGGGCTTAGGGGTTGAGGGGTTTGGGGTTTCAGGGTCCATTTTCCAGGGTTCAGGGGGTTAAGGTTTAGGATAGGTTTCATAGGGTTCAAGGAACAGAAACTCACTGCTTAGCTAACTTGGGCTCCTACCAAGACGCCGCAAATGCAGCAACACCATAATAAGAGTTGCAGTTCCGAACGCATGAACCGCCCCAAATCCTTCAACTTTCCGACCTCTGCTCCTATCCTGCAGGCCTGCCCTTTCTGCTGGGGCCCTTGTTTGGGGGAGTACTCGTAAGATCCTACAAGCCTTAACTCTAAAACCTTAGCGCAGCACCCCATCTCATGAGGTGACTGGCCGTTAACTACGCCCTGAAACCTTGAAGGAACCTTCTGAAACAGTAAATCTGCAATAGTGCACCAAAACCCCCCAACATAAGGCCAACTCCTAAACCCTATCTCCCCCTTGCTGATGTTACCTAGGGGCAGACGCAAAAAGGAGCTCAACCAAAAAAAAAAAACTATCTCCCCACGTGCCGTGCAGGCCTGTCTCTTCAATGGAGATCAGCTCCGCGATCCCATCACATGCAGAGACCCAAGGTCTGAGTTGATGTAGAAGTTGAACCAGGACCCCCCCAAGGGCCGTCTAATAGAGTCCTTATGGCCCTTAATAGTGGGTCTTTGGGGCGGGGGATGTTAGAGGGTACTTGGGGTCTAGGAAGAGGGGTTACGATTCGAGGGTTTGGGGTACAGAATGGTTTAAAGCAGGATTTTGTTTTGGAAGCCTGACTGACAATTTACTTTAGGCTATTCCCCAGGGTTCTTAACATACGCACCCCAACCTCAAAACCCTGTTCGAATGCTCAAGGCCACTGACATAACCCTGAAGGGTGGCGTTTTGTGCTTTAAGGCTTTCAGGTTCAATGATTGTTGGCTTTAGGGCTTTAAGCGTGAAGAGGTCTTTAGACCCTAACCACCGCTTGAAAAAGCGAGGGATTTCGCTTGAAACTACGAATCGAATCTGCGGCGCTTGAAAATACCATAATGTGCGATTGGCATTTTCTATCGGACCCGCTAGGAATCGGATGGAGTGCTATGTTCTCCTCTATAGGCTCTCCACTTGGTTTTGTCAACGATTCCGCAAGGCTTTTCATCAACGACTTCGCTTGGTTTCCCCTGCGCTTCACAAAAAAACATCGAACCCAACCCTAAACCCTGAAGCGCACAGGTCTTCGCAGAATTTGACAAATTTTCACAGAAATTCACAGATCTTCACAGACTAGTCTGTGAAGATCTGTGAAATTCTTTGAAAGCCTGTTCTTGAAAGCCTGTGAGACCTGTGCATACCAGAAATCGCAGGCTTCAAGCCCGCCCAAACACATGTGCTCCTGGATGCTCCGCTTGGTTTTTGTTTCATTCTCCTATTGGTCCCCCGCGAGGCTTTTGTTTCGCTTGGCTTTCGCCGAAAACTAGTGGATCCGCTAGAAAATAACAATCGGACTCAATCCGCTTGAATCTACCAATCGAATCCGTTTTTCTGTCGGCAATGGATAGGAGAGCTTTCAGGGTTTGTTCTGGCCTTTTTGTTGGACATGGTTTGGGACTTGATCAAAGGCTTTAGGTTGTTTTGGGCGGCACACCCGTTTTTTTGGTGAATGACGTCTATTTCCGTTAACGCTCTCCGCACTGAGGTAAAACGTGTATAAGTATATATAGACCAAAAGTTAAAACTCGTCAAGAAGTTAGAACCAGAGGTCTTCCTATACTCCAAGCAGTTCATGAAAGACATCCGTATGATTCTGCATGTATGTATACATGTATGTATATATATATATATATATATATATATATATATATATATATATGTACTCACATATATATATATATATATATATATGTATATATAGATATATAGATATATTGATATATAAATCTGTGTGTGTGTGTGTGTTCGCGTGCGTGTGCGTGCGCGTGCGTGTCTATATTCGGGACTTGTGTTTCAACTTGTGTGTGCTTACCTTGTTAGGGGCGTCTCTCAGCACCTTGAGCGCTTGATATTCAGACGTGCTGGCAGGGTCTGAATTAAGTTGTTTCTGGCATTCTGCAAACGGTTGTGGCGGTGCTGTTGCCATCGTGGTGTTTGGAAGCAATTGAGACAAACAGCGGAAGCTCACAGAATCCCCACAAGCTCGCATTGCCACCACGACTATGATTATTATTTCTACGGATATAACTGTATATATCAGCATCACGAATACCATGACCATAAACCCTGGCCCTTTTGCAGCCCCTCAACGTGTTTATAACCATCTTCTCAGTATCGTCCACTTAGAGGTTCATGGGTAGTTATAAGTGGGGTTATATTTAGCGTAACTATGATTATAACTCCTATTAGGGGACTTATAACCCTATTCAAAACTACCCATGAACCTCCAAGCACAAAACCATCCCTAAACCCTAGGTATGTACCCTTAATATGGCTATCATATACCCATTATATAGCCCCCATTATAGGCTAGGGGTCCCCATTAAGGGTCCCTCCTTTTTTTCCCCTTCGAACCCTAAACCATATACCCTTATAGAATCCCTATAGATCCTTTTAAAGGGACCCTTAAAGGAACCCTTATAACTGCACAAAACCATCCCAGAGACTCCAATATCCCTTAGTTAAGGAATACACCTTAGTGTATAGTAGGATCCAAAATATGATTTAAGGAATATTCCTTAATGGGATATTGGAGTCTTTGGGATCAACCTTTCCGAGGTGGAGCAGCGCATAGGGAGACGCAGCGGCTCTGTGTGTGCCGGCTCCCACAGCAAGGCCCTCACTTGGCCGGGCCTGATTGGCAGTTAATAGGGTTTAGGGTTTAGGGTTCAGGGTTTAGGGGTTAGAGTTTAGGGTTTAGGGTTTAGTGTTTAGGGTGTAGGCTTAAGACTTGAGTGATGGCTTTCAGGGTTTGGGATTAAGGGACATTGTTTTTGTGGGCTGAGGGTCATGCATCTGTCCCTCAGCCCTTGGCGCTCAAACTTCCTCCCTAGCCTTCTTCGGTTGGTTTCGGGACCTGGGAGTGTAGGCTCTGGATTTACGAGCGTCAACCACATAGCCGGTTCAATGTGGCAGGAGGCCGAAGCCGAAGAGCACTACAGCATGTGTCACGCGCACACACGCAGACCGACACCGACCGGGTTTAGGGTTTAGTCTAATTTAGGGATTCTTACACCCCTTGCCCCAAAGGAAGGGAACCACCAACCTCGTAAGCTCAGCACACAAACTGCCTCTCCGATCCTGAAGACGCAGTAGGTTTAGTATAGGGTCCATAGGGTAAACGGGGCCTCAAGACAGCAATATCTCGGGTACGGCCCCCAATCAGTACAAGTTGAATAATAATCATAATGTAGTTATAGTAGGACCTTAATAGTAGCCCTATTGTCGACTCTTACTGTATGGGGGCCGTACCTCAGCAATATCCCATTCTCCAGAAGTACCAGCCGGCCCCGAACAGCGCAGATGCGATGGACGAATCCTCCGCCACCACAGCATCGCCGGAAGAGACGACGATCAGGCAGCTGCAGTTCGGGAAGAAATCTCAGTGTCACCGAGCATCGTTCGCAGAAGTTCAGACTAGAAGTTGAAGAGTTCTCCCTGGTTCTTGGTAGGGAATAAGGCTAATAAGTCTGCTACTATAGGGGTTTGGGGGCTCCTTCAAGGGATCATTTTAGGGATCTGGTACTACTGCCTGGTTCTTAGTAGGGAATCCGGGAATGAGGGAATGGATTATGGAGACCTACTGGATCATATGGGGACGACTATAAGGATCCATTCCCCCATTCCCTAATTACTAGAACCAGCCAGGAGTTGGGACATAGGTGGTTGTCAAAATCATGGTTCCTTTATTGGGTACCCTAAATATTAGGTGCCGTATTGTAATGATGACCCTGATATTGACAACCACCCACATGGCTTGCGGATGATTCGTGCCTCGGGTTCCTCATACTTGACCGTACTGGTAGGAGGATACTTCTGTTCCCACTGTGCCGCTTGCGCTCTACGGTGTACCCAGTGCTGATGCCCAGCGATCAGGCTGATTAGACATGGTCAAACTTAATCGTACCCCATGGGAGTTTCCCCTATTTTGGGGTACTTAGAATAAGGATCCCCTATTCATAGCCGAGTGGATGCACGTTACACTTTTTGGGATAGTACTTCCCAGTATAAAAGCGAGAGTGTACACTTTTGGGGCTTATGAACTCAGCAACTAAGAATCCTACTATTCAGGGTAGCATATTAGGGTCCCATAATTTTCGGAAACGCCCACATCGTGTTTCCGACACTTAGGGTATAGGCACCCTGAATACGAGGATCTGTTGGGGCCTCTATGAAGGATTCTCCTTGCTTCGAAACTCCCATATGGGTAGTTGTCAAAATTATGGACCCTTTTGGGGGTATCCTAAATATTAGGTGCCGTACTATAATAAGGCCCCAAAAAGGGACCCTAATTTTGACAACCGCCCATATGCAGAGGGCTGGCTGTAGCTAGATCCACAGGTACCTGCACAGATGTATACATACATGACATGACATCAGAACTCTTCTCGTAACACCGGGATATATAGGGTTTGCAGTACAAGCCGTAAGTTGCAGAGTTGGTATCCGGTACCCAGACCCCCGGGAGGATCCAAAAAGTAGATCCCTTGATGGGGGTTCCTATACAGTACCCTTAGTAGTATAACCCCAAATAAGGGGATCTACTTTCTAGATGAAAACCCCAAGCTTTGGGTCCGGAAACCGAGAACCGAATGACTGTACACTGCCCGGAGATGCGGGACAAAAGGCGGCACGGCCACCTGAATAACCGAAGTCAGCCGCTGGGCCTCTCCGGTTGGTCCGTGTAGAGTTTATGGGTTTATCGGGGTTTAGGGTTTACAGCCTGGAATGTAGGGTCATAGAGTTCAGGTATATCGCCGAAAGCCAGCGGAGGAAATGCTCTTCGCCCTTTAGAAACCTCTGTAAATTAGCTGTGCAGAATCCTATAATGAAGAGGTCTCAACACGTAGTAAAGAGATTTTAACACTTGGTTACAACATCCCCCGGCTGGTGCAATCATACCACACACCCCCAATTTTTGTTTCTCGAACTCTCAAGTCCTGTCAAACCCCGACAAACACCCGTATTGAGCCCTGCTAAACCCCATCGCAAGCTTTCAAAAACCGTAAAGCTTAAATCCTAAGCCCTCTCAATCCTACAAAACTTAACGAACCCGCATAAGCTAGCCGTATAAATCTTAGACTCCCTCAGAGAACCCTTATAGAACCCTTACCCCTCTAAATCCTTAACCAACCCTTCTGGAACCCTTCAAGAGAACCCGCATCCTTTACTTCCCTAAACCCCATCAAAGAACCCTCATAGATCCCTTGTTAAAGGAACCCTCATAGATCCCTTATTAAAGGAACCCTCATAGATCCCTTATTAAAGGAACCCTCATAGATGCCTTTCAAGGAGCCCTATAGATCCTCTGAAAGATCCCTTACCCAGACCCCCGGGAGGATCCAAAAAGTAGATCCCTTAATGGGGGTTCCTTTAAAGTTCCCTTAGTAGTATAGGGCCCCAAATAAGGGGATCTACTTTCTAGATCCTCCCGGGGGTCTGGGTAAACAAGCTCACAGGAGCTCAAGCGCCGCCTTGCCGTCGACCAGGGTGCCGGGAAACGCCTCGAGTCGACTGAAGGTCTGGAGAGGGGTTTAGGGGTTTAAGGGGTTAGGGTTTGGAGGTTTAGGGTTTGGGGTTTAGGGTTTAAGGGTTCTGGGTTTAGGGGGTTTAAGGAGTGTAGGGTTAAGGGGTTTGGGGGTTGAGGGTTATGTTTGGGGGTTTAAAGACTTTGGGCTAGACGGTTCGGGTTCAGGGGTCGGGTCTATCACTATCGTGGCTCAGTCGGAACCGCGAATTTCAGCAGCGCTTCCTCTGTGTGCATGTTATGTGTGCCTGCCTCAATCTTTGCCGAGAAAAAGACAACACAATCCGGAGGCTCGCGCTCCTTGTTCTGGTCCGTTCCAGTCCTTCCGCTTTGTTACAACATCTGAGGATGTAGGTCTCTTGTGCGAGAAGTAGGGTTGTTTGCCTTGCAGGGTCTTGGCTTGATCTTTCTACGCCCTGGATGTCTTTCTACATCTGCTTCCGCTATCCTAACCTTAAACTTGACGAGCCAAAGGAAGAACTGCAATGGGTACCCCTTAGCCCGATCCCCAAGACTCAAAACCCTACAGCCTCAAACCTTAAAACCCCACAACCCTACAATCCCCAAAGCCCTGAACCTCAAACACCTACCCAGAGGTCCCATAGTAGTTCCTTTTGGGGATTCCCTTATGGAGTTCTAAGTACGAGCCCCAAAAAGGAACGACTATGGAGCCTTACCTTTAGTCTCCATTGTAGTTCCGTTTTTTGGTTAACCAGTTTTATGGTTAAGCCAACCTATAAGAGAGATTTTGGTTAACCAAAAAAAGGAACTACAATGGAGACTCTAGGTCGGGTAGACACCTACAGGGAACTCCAGAAAGTTGGAGTGTGGTTTCATGGTAGGATCCCCTATAATTTACCATAGAAGGGTTTAGGATAATGATATTCCAACTTTCTGGCTTCTAACCCTAAACCCAAACCCTAAACCCTAAACCACCCTAAACCCTAAACATCTCTAAACCCTAAACCCTTAGCCCAAGTCTGTCACTTAAGCAGTGAAGCCCCAACTCCGGGAACCAGACCCCGAAGCTCCCTAGGTCGCCCGGTCTACGTCCGCCGGATGCCCAAGGGGGCTTGCTGTATACTTGGGTGGTGGTCAAAATTAGGCTCCCTTTTTGGGGTACTCCAAATACTAGGTGCCGAAATATAATGAGGACCCAAAATAGGACCCACATTTTGACAACCACCCACTTCTTTCTTAAGTACATACATACATCCGTGCATGCACAGATACAACATTGTATGCATGCATGCTTGCATACCTACCCACCAACCTACCTACCTGTCTACATACATAGTGACATACTGACATACATACATTACATACATGTGCGTGTGTGTCGGTGTGTCTCTGTGTGTCTCTGTGTGTCTCTCTGTGTGTATCTGTGTGCCTCTGTGTGTATCTGTGTGTCTCTCTGTGTCTCTCTGTGTCTCTGTGTGTGTGTCTCTGTGTGTGTGTGTGTCTGTGTGTGTGTGTGTGTCTGTGTGTGTGTGTGTGTGTCTGTGTGTGTGTGTGTGTCTGTGTGTGTGTGTGTGTTTGTGTCTGTGTGTGTGTGTCTGTGTGTCTGTGTGTGTCTGTGTGTCTGCGTCACGTCTCTGCATGTCTCTGCCTCTGTCTCGCTCTCTCTCTCTCTCTCTCTCTCTCTCTCTCTCTCTCTCTCTCTCTCTCTCTCTCTCTCTCTCTCTCTCTCTTACTGCATTTGGGCAGGCAAAGCAGCAAGCAAGCAAGCGAGCAAGAATGTTGTTAAGCAAAGCATGCTTGTTCGGTGTTTTCAGCGGTGGGAACTTAGCAAGGGCATGCACAAGCCGAGCCTGATCGTAGCACGACAATGACCAGGCCTCCGAAAAGCGCAAACAGAATTAAGTAAACCTGTGCAGAGACCCTCTTCAAAAGTCAAGACCCTAAGCCCCTAGGCCTTACTTAGGGTTTTGGGTATTGAGGTTGCCATTCCAACCAACACAATGGCCACGACGGCCCCTCCAATGCCGGTGCTCCGGACAAACCGGAGTGCGCAAGACTCAGCCACCGGCTCGGTATGAGCTTCAGGGTTCAAGGATTTGAGCTTTGCTCTTGGCGTTTAGATCGTTACGGAGGTTTTTTCCTTTTTTGTTTCATTCCCAAACATTTATCCGAGTGCCGAACCCTTATTACAAGCTCGAACCGACTCGAACCGTAGTCTGCACAGCCTACATGCAGCCAGTACTGGGCTCGCTCGGGTCTTGTTCTCAGGCAGCGCCAGGGTTGGGTGCAGATGTGCTGAAGCACGAAAAAGCGGTTCAGGGTTAAGAGTTTACGGTAAGGAGTTTCGGTAATAGTGGTTAAAATGGGTGGAAATAATCAAAACAGGTCATCTTTTTCGCGCATTTCCTCTTAAAGTATACAACGTCCCCTAACACCTTGCTCAAGTGTTGACGGCCCGTATTCAAAGCATCCCTCCCGAAGCCTAAACCTCAAACTCTATTCGGACTACACATCCTGCTATCTATCCTAAGTCACCCTAAACCCTCAACCGTAACCCCAAACCCATGCTACTTATAATAAGCAGCTTACCATTATCCAATTGCTTGGAGCACTGCAGGTCGCCTTTGACACTCCAGCTGCCACGCTGGCAGAAAACCGTACAAAGGCGTCTCCGGGAGTCGACAGGGCCTTACCCTAAGGCTTCATAGTAGTTCCTTTTCGGGGTCCATTTTCAGAATTCTATAAGGTAATCCCAAAGAAGAACTACTATGGGCCTCTGGGTAGGTTTAGGAACTTAGGATTTTTGTGACTTTCCTGCGTGCGCACATAGTGTGCGACTCTTTTGGGTGTTGTGTGCAGCGCTCCTGACCTTTGGGACGGTGCCCAGAGACTCCATTCTCCCTCAGTTGAGGAATATACCTTAAATCATCTTAGGGATCCTACTATAATTTAAGGTATATTCCTTAATTAAGGGAGAATGGAGTCTTTGGGTGAGTGTGTTTTCACGGTCTAGGGTTAGTCATTGGTTTCCAGCTTTAGTTCACTCGGTCAGACATCGACCAATGCTCCGAGGACTCGGATATGTTTCTTGAAACGGAGAACCGAACAGGAGTGCTAGAGAGAGTTTTTGGAAGCTGGATGTTTGACGTTGGTTTGCAGTTTTGAAGAGCTCTGAAGATGTCAAGTGACACAGGGCGTGGTGACCTGGGAATTACGACACCCTGCTTGATAGATACTACAGCCTGGCACTTGCGGCCAGGAAAGCGGCTTGCCTGAACCTTCCTAAACCCTAACGCTCGGCGAAGTTCCGGGGCACATGCAAACCATTCCTTAACCCTGAAGTACCTACCTTTTTAGGCCCCCTTATTATAGTTTCTTTATATAAGTCCTTATTAAAAATGTACGTAGGTTCTTTCGGGGTTAAGGTTAGCCTTAAGCCTTAAACCAGAGCTCGGCCTCAAGAAATGAGGTAGAAAAGAAGACGTAAGAACCCTAGGGCTCATGTTCGGGGTCGGGGTTTAGGGTTGACGGCTCCGAGGGTTTTAAGGCTTGCGCTTTATAGCTTCAGGGCTTATATTGAGGATTTACCTTAACCCCGAAGAACCTACATTTTCAAGGACTTATGTAAAGAAAGTATAATAAGGAGCCTTAAGAGGGTAGGTAATTCAGGGTTAAGGTAGGGTTTAGGGCTTACAGGGCTCAGGGTACTTTTAGGATCTACGGTAATTCCTTAATATAATACCCTAAAAAAGGTAGGTTATTCGGGGTTATGGTAGGGTTTAAGGACATTTGGGAGGTGGGGAAGCTGCACAGAGGGAAGGAGGAGGTCCTTCAGAGCCAGGTCGATGAGGTTCCTTGCACAGATGTTCAGTTGATCATAAGGGACCCTTAGGCGGGTAGGGGGGAGGGGGTAGGGGGCCTTAATACCCACAATAAGGACTTAATAAGGCCTATTTAAGGAAGTATAGTCCCCTACCCCCAACATGTTCCCCCTACCCCCCCTAAGGGTCCCTATAAGTTGATGTTTAGGGTTTGGGGTGCAGTCATACGCTTAGCCAGGTCGGTGAGGTTCCTTGTTCAGGCATGCATATTGGGGTTTAGGGTGCAGACGGATTGTTTATGTCTCAGGGCTCCCAATAGTGAAAACGTGCACAGATCGCTTCTCAGAGGGTGTGCTGCTTGTGTGCCCTAGCCTAACACGTACCCGATGTCGTACTCAGGAGTTCGTCAGTTTTGGGTTAAGGCTAATTACGGTTCAGGATGAAAGTTATGAGGCAGAGGGTTCGCTGTACTTCAAGACATGCTTAGTCTTTGCTGGGTGCGTACCCGTATCATGTTCGATGGCCAGGGTAATTGCGTGCCGACTTCAGATGGGAGTTGTTCAGTCCAAGTGGCTACCTTAACCCTGAAGAACCTACCTTCTGAAGGACTTACATAAGGAACATAATAGGGAACCCTAAAAAGGTAGGTTCTTCAGGGTTAAGGTAGGTTTTAGGTGACACGTTTCTGGTCTGAGTCAGGGTTTTAATGTTTGGGGCTTCACAGTTCGGATTCCAGGATTCGGGGTTGAACTAGTGGTTCACTCACCTTTGGTTAGTAGGGAATGGAAGAATGGTAGTAATAGTAGTTATAGGTGTACCCATTCCTCCATTCCCTACTAACCAAAGGTAAGTCAGGCTTCGTATGAAGCCATAGGGCTTCTTCCATAGACTAGACCCCAAAAGCCCCTAAGCCCCGTAGCTTAGCCGTAAATGACCTACAACCAAGAAAGGTTTCTGTTTTTCGCGGTTAAGGTACCGTAAGCTACAAGAATCTAATCAATATATTTTGTAGGTTCCTATTATAAATATTTTATAGGGACCCTACACAATAGTCGGCTTTGATAGTTCATGGTTTATGGCAGAGTTTATAGGATTTCTTCAACAGGTTTGGTAGGTTAAGGCGGGGCTTGTAGGAATTCTCCGACAGGTGGCACCATCGAGCCTTCCCCGCAAGGGCAAACTGAGCCTGCAGTTGGCCAGCCGAGCGGCCCAGGGTGCTTTGCCCAACGCCACGTGGCTGTGGAATTTCGGGGCTTCAGTAAGCTAGGGACCGGAAAGCGCAGTAGCAGAAGGTGGCAAGTGACAAAACCCTTGATAGGAACATTAGTTCGCAAAGTTCATGTTTAGGTTTGTTTTTTTTGTTGATGGCGAGGGGTGGCGGGTCCTAACCAGCCCTAACATCTAAGCTGACCCAGTCCAAGGCATCCACTGGCATTTCTTCTACGGCCAAGGTCAAGGTCATGGCGACTAGCGCTGGGCGAACCTAGGGGCATGAATTGGGAGTCTTAACCAGTACCGTGTAGCATTACTTGGAGGTTCATGGTTAGTAATACATGGGGCTATAAGTCCCCGAATAGGGGTTATAACCACAGCTACCCTAAGTATAACGTCACTTATAACTACCCGTGAAGCTCCAAGTACAGACTGCATGGCCGGTCGTGAGTGTGCAGGCCGGGTGGCTGTGTACTGCTGATTAGGCATTCTCAGTCTGTCCAACAGACTTCAAGAGTCCGTTCGCTGATAAAGTCTAAGCCAGCCGCCGCAGAGCCCAAACCCTAAGCTTTCAACTCTAAACCCTGCCTGAAATCCGCAACCCTCGCGGAACAAGAATTCCGAGCTAAACAAGAGCAAAAGGGTTGAGGGATGAGGACTGATGGGGCCTAGACTTTAAACCTCCACAAGCCCTGAACAATGCATTAGTTGAACCTACACTACACTCACACAACGTAACCCTAAGCTCCACCGCAGAAACTTCTGAACCCCAGACCCCTTACTCCATACCCCCAAACCGAAACCTCAAAGCCCGAACCTTCTGAACTCCAAAACACTCGTGTCCTCCTAAGCCTGACAAGCGCAAACTTCAAAAACCCTTTGATCAAGAAACGTACCTCAAAATTTCGGATGGACCCTGAATACCGGTTAAGGTAAAGTACATTGCGTCCTAAAAAGAAAACCCCCAACCCCAAGAACAGACCCCAGCAGCGCCAGGCTCCCTCGACAGAGCCGACAGCGCCGTCTTCATTCGAGGCGCCGCCAGATTTCTGTGAGTCCGTTGGTTCGGGCGGCAAACTGCTTGGCTTTCGTGCCAGATCTTCCAAAGCCGCATCCTCCCGAGGGAATGGTCGTGGGATTTCCAGTTGGGATCATGCTGCGTGTTTCTTACGTCTTACATATCACACACGCCTCTCCCAAATCGCGTTGCCAAGGCAGACATGTCAAGGGTTCAGGGTTTGGAGAGGGGCTTCAGAGGTTTGGGTGAGTTTCCGTTTCCGGTTCATGGAGGCTGCCACTTAGTCTGAGCCTTTCAGTCCTGCATTGCAAAAGCAGCAGTGGCAATGCCATTAAGCACAAGTGCAAAAACCCGCAGCTGTCTCGGTAAATCCGCCTAACAGCCCTGAAACCTACATACGGTTGATGATATAAATCCTGCATTACCCATAATAAGGAATATACCATAATTCCCATAGTGTAGGGTGCTTAAGGTAATGCAGGACTTATATCATCAACAGTATTACCTTAGACCCTAAGCCCGCATAGCCCTAATACACTCAATCCTAAGCCAAGGCCCTCCAACCCGAATACCCTAAATCCTAAGCCCTATATTACCTACACTATTTTGGGGGGGGCTTCTGATTATATCGTAATGAGAAATATCAGAGCCCTTTACAGGGCAATTGGGCGGTCCTGGCGGGCTTAGGAACTGAGGGTTTAGGGCTTCGGATTTGAGGTATTTTGGCTAGGAACGCTTAACTAGGTAGGCCTTTTGGGACATTGTCTATTTTCCCTTATTGGGCTTAGTAGGACCCTATTTACGAATATTTTTCAGAGGCTTTAAGGTGCCAACCTAGTTAATATAGGGGCATTAATATAATTAGAATAGGTGGGGCCCAGGGGTCAAGGCATGGCCTGAAGATAAAGCCGTCAATCCTTACTGCAACGGACGGCACGGTCCTCGATCCAAGATCCCGACACCGACACCCAAAAGTGAACCCCAAAAAGTTGGAACATGGGTTTAGGATGATTGGTGCTGAGATTCCCTCTGCTTTGCCTCAAGGGCATGAGGAAAATGATGTTCCAACTTTCTGGCTTCGACTGTAGAGCAGATACAGCTTAGGGTTCAGGGTTTAGGGTTTAGAGGAGATACAGAAGCCGGAAAGTTGGAGCATCAGCATCCTCATTCTCCTAAGGTACAGCATAAGGAATCCTAGCTAATCTGTGTTCCGAATTTCTGAGGTTCTATGTAAGCCTACTGGTGACTACCATTCCCATGTACCCAGAGATTCTAAGACCCCCTAGGTCAAGGAATTTCTTGTACGCTGTTTTGGGGATAGTGCTAGCTCATAGCTCATGAATTGTTTGGATTGCGGGGTTCGGACAATCATAACTCCTGTCTGCAAGACTGAATACTTGGTCGGAGTATTCCCGTACAGTCCCTACATAATCATAGCATACTGTGCACCTTAGCCGTTTTAAGATTCAGTTAAAGGCTAGCATGTTCAACGCCACGCGCCCTGCAACCCCGTCTTTAAAAAGTTTAAACTAACACTTATTGACAAAGTCGGGTTTACAGCTTGAGGCTTTGGATTCAGAGTTAGGGTTCCTACTCAGTCAGGCGGTTGCCAACACGACGGCTGCGACTGAGCCGAAAGCCTCACGGTCGAGCGCAGCGACTGGGCAGGCTGTGTATAGGGGCTTGAACAACTTGATGATGTGTTCTGTTAGGACTTTAAAGGTTTTAAGCACAAGGGGTTGCATTGGGCTCCCTCGACTTGTTTATGGAGACCTGGATGGTTAGAATATGGTTTTGGGGAATGATTTTGTGCGGTTACGAAGGGACTAGAAGGGGTCCTTTCTCGTTGTTATTTTGATACCAGCATGCAGCATGCTTACACATGCCCTACAAAGTCCATCTCATATGGGACCCTACGAGACAAATCTCTTGTTTATATGAATATGGCTCCTGCTTCCTCAGGCGGCCGCCAACACGACGGCTGCAGCTGAGCCGAGAGCCTCACGGCCGAGCGCCGCGACTGGGCATGCTTTGGGGGCTTGCACAATTTGAACATGTTTTTTGGGGTTGGGGTTTAGGGCTTAGGGTTTGGGGGTTAGGGTTTAGGGCTTAGGGTTTAGGTGTTAGGGTTTAGGGCTTAGGGTTTAGGGCTTAGGGTTTAGGGGTTAGGGTTTAGGGGTTGGGGTTTAGGGCTTAGGGTTTAGGGGTTGGGGTTTAGGGCTTAGGCTTTAGGGGTTAGGGTTTAGGGCTTAGGGTTTTTATGTGCAAGTCTTTGCATCGAGGTTCATTAGGATAGCTCCCGGGTTGTTTATGCGGGGCGTAATGTCTAGAATGGTTTTGCTGCGAATACTGCTGCACAGCTATAACGGGACTAGAAGGGTAAGGGTCTCTTTCTTGCTGTCAATCTGGTACCCATATGTTCAACTCTGCAAGGATAATCAGCTTCAAATTCAACAAAGACCCTATCAGAAAAGCCTCTTGCATGTATCGCTGCTGCTTCGTCAGGCGCCTGCCAACACGACGACTGCAGTTGAGCCCACAGCCACACGGCCGAGCGCAGCGACTGGGCATGCTATGGGGGCTTTAAAAGATAGCATATAGTGAACCCTAGAAAGTTGAAATATTGATGACTCCCTATACTTTATCATATCGGGATGAGGTTACTGATGTTCCAACTTTCTGGCTTTTACTGTATCCCCTTTTGAGGGTAAGACACTTTTCCTGTCGAGGTTTACAGTTTTAGGGCTTTAGGGGGTCCTATCACAGGGGCCTCGTGGCTTTTGTGGAATATTCTGAGACATTCACACAGGGACGACTCGGGATACTATACTAATGCTAGGCTTGCCTGGTTTGAACCCAGGCTCTGCCACCCCATCACAAACCTCTGGCCCAAATGGGAGTTTCCGAAAAGTAGGGGTACCTGAATTTGGGGTCCTTATAATAGGGATCCTACTATTAGGGTACTATATTGCCTATTCTCGGAAGCTCCCAAATCCTATCACCAATCCACGCAAAATGTCACGAGGTAGCCAGGCATTCACAAATCATAAACCGCGTAAAGAACGTACGTCTGACACCCCAACATACGATAAGCCTTGAATGAGCCCTGAAATACAAGGTTCACCGATAACTATCCTCGATCCTTACAAGTGATCGACAGGCTCCGAACCCGAGAAACAGAATTTTACGCCTTGAGCCTGGTTTGCAAGCCTTGCAAACCCTAAACTCCAACCAGCCTATGCAAACTCGACATTCAACCCCCTGGTACTGTACCAAACTCCATTAATCTTACCCTGAACCCTGAACGTAATATTCCCTATGCCTTGATTCCTGAAAGCCGGAGCCCTCGTCGTAACCCCTGAACAGGGATGAGGCTGCGAGCCACCTTCGACTATGACTTCGGGACATGGAGAGCTGATGCAGCACTTTGCAAGGTCCTCGGGCATAACCCTGTAGAATTGAGGCATGTAGGAGTTAGAGCTTGTCGCGTTTAGTGGCAGCTTCATGTAAATATCTAGACCCGGAGAATGGGTGTGAGAGTTATACTTGGTTGAGGTGTTCAAAAAGTTTAACGGGTCTTCATCGGTGGTGATACGGGTGTGGATTCTCTACGTGTGATTTTTGTTGAAGCCGCTACAAAACCTACGCCCTCCACCCTACCTCAAATCTACCAAGCGGGAAGCTTCGAGAAAAAGCTGCCTTAATTGAGCCCAAAGCCCTCATCCTTCACCCTCTCCGCCCGCGCCGAACCCAATCCTTTCATCCAGAACCCTCAGGCATTCAACCCTAAACCCTGCACCCCGAAACTCGTTCTAAACCTCAGCCCTCAGATTTCTCTCTGGAATCCAGGCCCTGCCGCGACTCCGGCTGCTCTTTGTCCGTCTTGGCGCCTCCCCTTTATCGATGACTGGTCGAACTCCGAGCGGAAGATTCCAGCTTTGTGGACGTCTTCGGTTCAACAGATTGCCGGAGAAGTGTCTCGGCATCTCGGACGTTGCAGGCCTTCCTTCAGCCATGTGTGGCATCACGAAGCGCCAACTTTGGCAGTGGCATGGCAGCCGCGCTGAGAGAATGGCAGTGGCGACCGTGAGAGGGCTTCGGAGAGTGTAGCTTTGCCCCGCGAAGCGTCGCTGACAAGTATCAAGATGGGCAAGCCTGAACAGATGACCGTATGGACTTTCTGCATCTGAGACATCGATCTGCGCGGTTTCACAGCCATTCACAGATGGGGATAAGCGTGTTGTTTCTTGACTGTGGGCTGTGAAGGATGCTTTAGGTATTGCATGCTCTTAGGTAGTTTAGCCCCATATCTTCAATTGCCAACCGGTCTTCGTGCTTTCATCCCCCCGAGACCCTAAAAGCCATAAGCCATACATCCTACACTATAAACCCTAATTGAATTGACTTTGAGACCAAAGGCACTAACCAATGCCATACTGTGCCGCCGCGAAAAGATATCCGCATCTTTCGGGACCAGGGTTTCAGCACGGGGGTTTCTTGAGGGATTCCTTCATATAGCAGCTTGAGCTATGGTAACCCCCAACCCGGGATCTACACTATTCTACAGGGCTTTGATTTCGGACGAGTGCGAAAGATCCCGTGACTAGCACTTTTGTTCCCTTCGACGCCTCATATGGGCTACGGTTTAGGGTTTAGGTTTAGGGTTGTGTATATGTGTTGGCGAATGCGTAAAAAGGACTCCTTGGTGAACATCGGCGAGTGCATATTTTGGGGGAAGTGTTAATTGCCTACCTACTTCACAATTGTTTATCGAGAATATCACCCTAAAGCTCTTATCGAAATCTCACATGCCAGTAATGTAGGAACTTCATTAAGAAACCTTGGGCCTTTATTCGGGTTCCTTCTCGGAATCCTACCATTTTGGGGTTATGAGCCCAGGGTGTCTTCATCAGGTTCTTAGCTTATGCTGCATTACCCAGAATAAGGAATATACCATAATTCCCATAGTTTAAGGTCCTTAAGGTAATGCAGGATTTATATCATCAACCCTAAACCCTATAGATCCCTTAACGGAAGCCCTTAATCTCATGGGATAGGAAGCCGAAAGGCTCCGACGCGAGGCCCAGGCACCACGAAACCCCTAGATCTTGAAACCGCAAAGAATCTTGCAAAGGGTTTAGGGTTTAGGGTTCAGGGTTTGAGGGTGCAAAGGGTTTAGGGTTTAGGGGGCGTGCTGGGTGTTTGTGAAATCCCAATGCTCGCTAGACGACAAATAGAGTATTCCAAGAGTAATCGGTTAGAATAAGAAGCAGAATGATCGGATAGAGAGTGGGCTCTTTGTGTCGTTCGATGCTTGCAACGGCAGTTTCGGCTGCGAAGGTTGTCAGAAGGGTTCAGGGTTTAGGGTTTAGGGTATCCCTGGGGTTCTACAGATGGCATGGACTATTTCAGCAAGGCTGATGAGCGGGGAGGCAACCTCCGTGAGCATTCCGCCAGACTTCCTCATCGAGGAGCCAAGATCCAGACTTCGAAAGCCTTTCGCTCAGAGACATAAGCTCTTCAAATGGGAGTTTCCGAAAATAGCAGGTACCTTATTGGGGGTCCTTGTCATAAGGATCCTACCATTTAGGGTATTACATGAGAGTCCCCTATTTTCGGAAACTCCGTTCCTTTCACAATTTCTTTGGGGTCCCCGTATTGTAAAAACCAAACAGTAGGACAAAGTGTGCCCTGATTGTTAAGGGGCTACTGGCAGACTTACAACTATACTGCAGAAGACCCCAACGCCCTATCGTAATTACTAGGGCCCCAGAAATCCTCGAGACCTTATCGTGCTCTTCTTGAAGACACCCCTAAATGAGAGGAACCTTACTGTAATGATTCTCCAATTCCTAGCCTCCTCAAACCCCTGAACTCTGAACCCCCAAAGCCCTGGCCCCTCAAGCCTAAACCCCAAGCCCTACCTGTAGCCAAAAAGACCTACTTTTTGAAGGAACCATATATAGAAACCATAAGAAGAAACCCGAAAAGGGTAGGTCTTTCCGGATACAGACAGGTATAGCCCCTATCCCTCAAATGCCAGGACCTGCGGAAGTTGGCCCAGATAGAGCTGAAGAAGTCTCTGAAAGCGCCTGAGACTTTTGTAGTTCCGGGTTTAGGCTTCACAGGATCTTTTGGCAATTAGTGGTTTAGGATTTTCGGTTTAGAGGTTTGGGGTTTAAGGGTTTTCGCATGGGTAGGGAAGCAGAGTGAATCGAACGGTACTTGAATGAATCGAGTTTTGCACATTGGACTTGTCACCATCCTCGGTATCTTCACGTTCTATCACCATTATCACGTCCCTGGCATGATGGCAAACTAAGGCTTTGAGGAATTCTTAAGAATGATTACGGGAAGCTGTCAGTAACAGTCTTTGTCCTTGCTTTGACTCTCCAGCTGGATAGGAGACATGTGAGGTTGAGATCTGCAGTCCAGCACACAGCTTGTTCCTAATCTGGGGACCCCCTACTTCCGAACACATTCCCAAAGCCTTGAAATATGAATGCATCATCAACTCCTTACTAAAGCCTACGATGCCAGGAAGGCCGAACTCCAAAACCCAGACCGCTAAGCCTTATAAGCACAATCCCACACAGCATCCGCACAGGCAGTGATGAGTTCCACCAGCGTCCTGGACCCTTCTTCCACGATCCAAGAGGCGGGCTTGAGGGACGGCGATGAAGTTAGCGTCCTGACTGCACCGACGAGCCTCGGCCACAGTTGTGCTGGTTTAGGTTTTAGGGGCGAGTATGTTACAGTATGTTTGGATTTCGTTTATGGGGCTTTATGGGCGTTTTCGTGTGTTTCACAAGGGTCTGACAAGGCTTGCTCAACATGGGGTTTTAGAATCGCGCTAGCTGCTCGGTGGGAACCAGTGTTTTCTTTGTTCTGGGTGCCTTCTGGCCAATCCCCGAACCTCCAACCCCAAAACCCCTAATCTAACCCTAAACCCTACCGTATACTTATCTTTGGTTAGTAGGGAATGGAGGAATGGGGTACAAGTATATACCTACTATTACCACCGACTACCATCCTTCCATTCCCTACTAGCCAAAGGTAAGTATCTCAAGGACCAAGCTTCGTGCCCACAAGTTCGGCTTTGGCTTTGCCGCCATTCTGCCGGACAGCACCGTGGAAGTGTGGGGTCACGATCTTCTCCTTGGCAACTCGCGATTCGATGAGGCGCTCTCCAGAGTCTATAGGGTTTGGGGTCTTAGGGTTAAGGGTTTCGGGTTTAGGGGTTTGGGGTTTAGGCGGACTTAGGGCGTTCCAGGGTATGCTGTTAGCAGTCAGAGTACAAGTAGTCCCTTCATATGCGTGCCGAGATATCGGCCACCGTGCTTTGGGAGTACTGGCTCGCTTTAGGCTTGCAGTTGATGTCTAGGCTAGTGCTTAGTGACTTGTATCCTCATGTGCTGGCTGTGACCCGAGAGTAGGGCTTTGGTTTGGTCTTTGAACCAGAACCCATAAACCCTGAACCCGACAACGCCGAGATCCCAGTACTCAAACCTCAACACTTCAAAGCCCTCCCACCCGCCGGCAGGCTGAGCAGAAGGACGTGCTGGACGTTTTTCTGACGGAAACGGCAGTGGCCGCGCTTCGAGCTGATGGCACTGTGGCTTGGCAGCCGAAGGAGCAAGTCTAATATAGGGGGTCTCCAGAATTGCAAATGTTATTCCTGACAGGGCTCCTTTTAACAATTATCCCTACGATATTCAAAACCGCATTCCAATTATTGAGGCCCCGATATTCTTATCTTGGGTTAGTAGGGAATGGAGGAATGGGGTACAATTATAACTACTATTTACTATTACTACCATTCTTCCATTCCCTACTAACCAAAGGTAAGTTACTGTGACTTTTGCTATAGTTATTTAGAAGCAGCTGAACGATAAGGCGATATTTCAGGAAGCGGTGGGGTGTAAATAGGCTTCACCAGCATATGCTCAAGGTAAGGTAAGCAAGACATTGAGCTACTTCGGTTTAGGATAGCAGTCGTGTTGTGTGGCGGTCGAACCACCATACTCCGCTGCACAGCCCAAAGCTCCGCACGAAAAGTTGTTTTCCTCCGCACGAAAAGTTGTTTTCCCCCAAGAATCATAGGAGGCCAAAAGGTGTTTTAGCCTATGGGGGTTTAGTAGGGGTTAGGGGTCCCATAGTGGGGTTCATATTCAGGACTCCCGACCCCAAGAATCTTAAGCCCCCTTTTTGGCCTCCCATCAAAGAAACTCAACCATCCAGGTCATCACCTGTGGCTCTGCCACAGACGGTGGCGATAGCAGCAGCATCAAGGAGTTGTTGAAAGGCATCATACACGTTGAGGCCACCCAGAGACTGGGTTCATGTTGACTTGACAGACTTAGCTTTGAAAA